CCCTGCATTAGTCTGTTTTCCATTGCTCTAATGAAACACTTGAGGCTGGGTACTTTATAAAGAAAAAATGTGTACTTGGGTCATGGTTTTGAAAAACACATGGCACCATCTCTGGTGAGGGGGGCCCCTGGCCACATCACATCATGGCAGATGTCATCACAGAGGGTTGCGTTTGAGAGAGGGATCCTGTGGTGAGACAAGAAGCAAGAGAGTAGGGGAGTGACCAGGTTTGCTGTTCTGTAACAACCTTGTGAGAACTAACCAGGGTTAGGTAGAACTACATTATTTCCTTCTGGGGGCAGCAACCCCAAATCACCTTCCACTAGGCTTTGTCTCCCAAAGACTCTGTCACCTCCCACATCACTGAGCTGGGGATCAAGCATCCACCACATAAGCCCTTGGGGAACACACTTACACCATATCCTCACCATAGCACTCCCCAACACCACAGTGTTAGCCGTGGGTCACCAGTCTTGCACCGTGGCTCTTGTCTTGGAACCACATTGTTCTCAGGGGAATGGAAAAGAATGTCTGATAGGATTCTGAAGAAAAGTAGGAGAAAACATTCTTCTTGGTGACAGTCCTATGCTTTTGTGAGTGCAAAGTGTCTAGATCATGCATTTTGTTTAAATACCGATCTGTCATCTGTCACTCATTGACCATGGGCCTTGCATCTGCAGCCCTTGTTCTGACCTGCTGGCTGCCTGGGGACTAACCACACAATGCCTGGCAGACTTGACAGCTGTGACAGTGAGGACCTCCAGGTTCATCTCTGAGTGTGTGCGTTTTTATTTCAGTTGATGTTTGCACAGGAGTAACCAGGTCAGCATGACCCAGGAGACGTGGCCTTTTATTGTGTTCTGACTTCTGTGGTGTAGACATTGAGGCCCTTCAACACGTGGCATAAGGACTTATGTCTCTCCTACCTTGCAGTTAGGAAAGGCTTGTGTACTTCTGTGTGTTTGTGTTACAGGCATTTATTTCATGTTTATTTTTCACTTGTTGACATTCAACTTGGGTAGAGGTCCTACTTTCCTATTTGTAAGATGCCCAAGAAATGAGAGGTGTTTGGGATGACCAAAAAGTGAAAATAGAGAGTGGTGGGCTGGTGGAATGGCTCAAGTGGTAGAGTGTCTGCCTGGCAAGCATGAGGCCCTGAGTTCAAACCCCAGAACTGCCAAAAAAAAAAGAAAATAGATAGTGGTGATGGTTGCACAGCATTGTACACACACTTAGTGACTCTGGAATTACATGCTTAAAATGGTAAATGTTATGTGATACATACCTTATTTTTTATTTTTTCTTTGACGGGACTGGGTTTTGAACTCACGGTTGCTGGACAGACACTCTACCACTCGAGCCACACCCCCCAGCCCTTTTTTGCTTTAGTTATTTTTCAGAGAGGGTCTCGTATTTCGCTCGGGGTCTCTAACTCATACATCCAGCACAATGTGTGGTGTTGGGGATGGCAGGTGACGCTGAAGTGTACTTCCCACTAGCCATGCTGTTCCCAGAAGGCCTTTGATAATGGCAGAACATTGGGTGTTCATTTCCAGACAAGGTAGGGGACGCCTTTGCTGGGAGTTAATCCTGCCTCTCCAGAAATGCCTTGTGACCCTCTTTTTTCTTGTTATTTAAACCCACACCTCTCTGTCCTTTCCAGAAGTGGCAGCCATGTGGGCTTCCGTCCAGGGGAAGTTTGGTGGTTTCCGAGCTGGCATTTTTCCTCTCCAGCAGGAGGGTACCGGTGCCTTCTCAGCTGAGAGTCGCAGGTCAATGCGTCTCCCTTAGAAACTTGATCGACTGCACAATATCTGTTCCCTTGTGCTAGGGTCCCTTGGGTAACTAGGCCCTGGTCTCTGGCGGCCGCTTGTGGGAGATGTGCACTTCTCTCTCCCAGGGTGGTTCTTGGGGACACGGGGCACTCATCACTGACAGAGACTGCTCTCAGGTCTGTCTGATGGGATCTCATAAGTGTGAGCCTCAGCCTGTCCACCCAGGAGAGACCTATCCTGAGCACCATGCTCCCATGCCTCAGGAGCTGTATTCGTATTTTTATGCTCTGTAATAAATTATGACAAATTGAGTAGCTCAGAACAAATGCATTCATTACCTCACAGTATTTGTAGCTTATTTGGGTTTACTCTTCAGGATCTCACCAGGCTGAATGTTGGTGTTGCCTGGGGTAGTGGGCTTATCAAAGGCTTGACCAGGCTCCCTCAGATTGTCGGCAGAATTTCCTCGCAGCCTTAGGACCTCTGAGATTCCTGTATTTCTTACAGCTGTTGGCCAGGAACTGCTCACAGCCACATCACAACACAACAGTGTCCTTCAAGGCAGTAAGGATGTCTCTAGCTCCAGCCTGCAGGGTGCAGTGTTAGGATGTAATGCAGTCCTGAGAGTGTCATCCCACAACCTTTGCCATTTCCTACTGAGTACATCTTCCCTCCACTCAAGAGCAGGGAATTCACAAAGTTGTGAACACAGGAGGGAGGTGGGGCTATGAGGAACACCACTGTCATTGTAGTCATGTACCCTCTGCCTAGTACCAAGCAGCCTGGAAGCTCCCTCTGACAGCCCCACGGGCAAGCTTGGCTAGTGAATCCTTATGTAAGATTAGTGGCAGGAAGAAGGTTTGTGTGACCGTGACCTTCCCCCCGCATTTGCCCCTCCCAGGCCACAGCTGCACCCTTACAAAGTGGTGACGTCAAGGCTTGGGCAGCCACCATCATGTCCCTGGAGGACTTAGGGGGTCCTTGCTACTTCCTCTCTCCACTTCAGTCACTCTTCAGTTTCAGAAGCCATTCATTTCCAGTCATGGAGCTAATTCCTAAAGGCAAGAAAAGGCTTTTTAGTTGTTCATATTCCCCTAATATGCAGTGGATTCCAAGAAACCATAAGCTGCCATGTAATTTTTTTCATGCTTCATCTAGAAAATTTGTAATGTCTGTTCTTGTTGATCCTTTGTCTTCTTTCAGTTCAGATGTAACTGAGTTAATTATTGGGTGAAGTGAACCAGAGCTGCCTTTCTTGTTACATAACTTCTTGTTCCAGACCAGAAATGGTACTTATTAGCTCCTGTTCAGAGATTATTCCTTATGAAGCTGACTGTGGGTTTCTCACAGTCTGTTCTTCATTCATTTTTCTTAGTGTTTTAATGAGTCAGCACAGTATTCACTTATTTTTAAGATTGTAATTTTCAACCTAAGTCATCCGAATCTCACTGGCTATGTCTAAGTAGCCTTGGGCAGTCTGGCATTAGTGTCTATGCAGTAGAGAGCTGGGATTTTACATTTCGGATCTCCCTTCCCCTGTGTGCTGAGACTACACATACAACAGTATGTCTTGACCAGGTCTTCTCTCTCAAAAGTCTGGAATGTTCTGTTTTAATTTTTCTTAGAGGGAGAAATGAGAACATGAGTCTAACTCTGAGCAAGTGTTAAGGGCAGAAGGCTGGGGTTCAGCATTGGGTTTTTTCTGTAAGAATTAGTTTTTTCCGGGTTGACTTGTTTGAAATCAGTCTCTTCTTTTGCATTTCAAACATATGTGCCTCATTATGCTACCCCAGAAAGGATGTTAAAGGGAAAAATAAAATTAAAATAACCTATTGAAGTTTGCTTACCGAGTCACAGTTTCACACCTGGGGAAAACCAAATCCTCTTTAATTTTTTTTCACTTTTAAATTTCATGTAAATCATACCCAGATGGTTAATGATATCATAAATTGCTTTTAACGCTACATAAGGATCTTGGAGGTTCATTTTTTAAAACATTAAAACAAATGTGCATTCAGAAACTGTGTGGTGCTGTGTAAAAGTGCCCAATTTAAGAATTTTGTGGCCAGGCCTGGCAGGGACCCCTTTTTTGGTGGAGCAGCCTCATAAGTGGCCAGGACGGGCCCCATACAGAGGGGCTGTGTATGAAGTGTGACCCTGGGCTCTAATTTCCATTCTCCACAGCCAGCCACCAGGACAGACAGCACATTTGGTTCATCCTGAGCTGCATCTCTTGTTGCCTTAGGCCTGTCTGGGCCAAGAAATTAATGAATTTCCAATGCCCTTCGGCCTCTAGGAGTTCCCCAGACCCAACTCTGAAGGGATAATCTTTCTCTCTGGTGACCACTTGCTCGTGGTCCTCCTGGTGGTGCAGTTTTGTGCTGTATTGCGGGTATGTCTGGGAAGTGGGAACATGGGGAGTAGCTCTACCGTGACCCCAAGACCTTTATTTCAGACCATCCTTCATTACACTGTCTCCCAGAACTGCTTTTAGTTGTCCTAGTCTTTCTTTGATGCATCTTTAATTTTGATAGATTTTTGCCAAAGCACCCTCTATAAGGGTTGAACCCTTTTTTAAAGTCTTTTAAAAATTAATTCTTAATTTTCTGAGAGATAAAGGGGTATATTCTTTTCATTAAAAATGCAAAAAAATTAGAGATTATGACTTAAGACATTTTTAAATCGTTCCCTCATACCAACCCTGACCCCAGTTTCTCCTCTTTTCCAGAGGTAACCGCAGTTATCGGCTGGGTGTATGACCTAGGAAATATGTTTAGTGTGTGTATTGTTTTGTTAGAATTAGTGGAATGCCGGCTGACTAATTTGAAATTAGTTGTCTACTGTGTGAGCCATAGTGTACCAAGTGTATAATTCTTTGATGAATGTGTTTCACATAAAGATCAGATGTCTTGGAGGTCTTTTCTTTTTTGAGACAAAGTTCGCTATGTAGGTCAGGCTGGCCTGGAACTCACAATCCTCCTGCCTCCATCTCCCAAATGCTGGGACTGCAGGCATGAACCACCATGTCTGGCCCTCCTTGGGGATCTTTCATTGACATGGAACTATGTATATTCTTTGAATTACTTCACCAAAATCATTGTTCAGTAGTGCTGTTTTTGGCAGCTACTTTCAGGAGAGAATGTGGGCCTTCATTAAATATCCAGTGGTTCTTTTATTTTTTTAATATTGTGCAAAACCTAAGTCTTTATGTGTTTCTCTCTACAGATCTCAGAAAACTGATCTTCACAATGAAGGCTACGTCTTGGAGTTAGATTGCTTTTCCTCCTTAGACCACCGAACACTCGTCCCGGACTTTGTTAAGAAGGTGGGCCTTGTGTTCATTCCTAAGGAACCTGGCTGGGCAGGTTGGTAGAGTATATGCCTGAGTGAACAGGCAGGTAAGTGGGGTTAGGGTAGGTCAGCCAGACTCCAGAGGCTTCGAGGAACCATGACCTAGACCTTTGGGTGGCAGCCTTTCCCGTACATCGCTCAGGCTGGAGTTAACTCTGGAATCAAATGGCCAACTCTCTCACAGGCTGGCAGGACCCTGTGTCCTGTGTTTTGGGTCTGGAGTAGCATTACCAGCTGACAGGCCTGCAGGCTCACTACTGGGGCTCTGCTCAAACCCTCAAGATGGTATGACCCCCACATCGCACCCTCTGTTGGTCCTGTGGGTCTTGGTTGCCTTGTTCCCCCTTCCTTTCCTAACGTGGGAGTATACCAGAGTCCCCTGGCCACCCGCAATGGGATTGTACCAGGGAACATTGCCCAGCTGCAGCGAATTCCTCTCTGCCCAGAAACGTGTCTGGTTTCAAGCCTTCCTTCATCCCATATGTGGTTTCGTGTCTAAATTGCAGGGTCCACTTGAGTTTCATTTGTGACATTTACAGTAGAAGGAATGTTCTTTCCCCAGACGGGGGCGGGGTTCTGCCTTAATGTGTATCTTGCTCTCCCTTACCCAGTCTTCACTGTACAACCATGAATCACTTGGTGATGGCCTCGTATTCTGGGAACTGCCTCACTAGGTGATTTCCAGTGTACTGATGCCTCCCGTGTGGTATGGGTCCATCTCTCCACGTGGCCTTCTTGAGGCAACACAAGACGTGTAAGGCTGCTAGAGGCATAACATAGCATGTGTTTCACAGTAGACTTTATAAAATATGAGTAGGGGGTACATTCTGAGATAAGTAGTATAGTATAGTGAATGCATCAACCAGTAACAGTCACTTACAGTCAAGCATTACAAACATAATTGTATGTGCTCTACTTCTGTGTGTGTTGGCAGCGCAGTGGATGTGTTTACACCTGCATCATGAGCTTGTGAGTCATGTGTTGCCCGATGACATCTTAGGACAGCTGCAGCGTTCATCCTAGGCCATAGGAATGTTTCAACTCCGTTATCATCTTGCAGTACCACAATGGTATATGCAGTCACTCATTGAGTGAAATATCCTTATGTGGAGTGTGACAGTAATTGGCCATTCTCCCACTTTGTTTAGGTGGTTGTGGTTTGTTTGAGGTCCAAACAGTCAATTAGTGAGTTCATTAATAAATCTTGTTGGCTGTCGACTTTGGGCCAAGAATAGTACTGCATACTGGGATGCAGGGAACAAAGCAGCCCTGCTCCCTCCGCCGTGTTGTCACCAGGGCAGGTGGTCCTTGCCGATGATCGTGGCTAAGTGGGAAGCAGCTGGGCTGAGGGGCAGGTGGCTACTGATGCATGCGTGGTTCAGGGATCAGGAAGATGCCCCAAACTGAGATGGGAAGGGGGAGGAATTTGTGGTGATGCAGCTGTGTAGCTGCTGGGCCAGGTTGGGGAATAGCATGTGTGAGGGCCTGAGGCAGGACGGGCAAGTCGAATCAAAAGATTAAATAGGACATAGTGAAGAGAGGGAGCATGGGGACCAGAGAGACCCTGGCCTCAGCTGTAAAAGCAATGAGAAACCATTGTGAGGGATTTTGCAGATGAGCAAAGAAATTAGATTCTGCTTTCAAAGGGTATTTGTTGTCTTCCTGCCCCCTTCCTTTGATATTCAGGCTTCTGAGGCCCTGGCCACTCATGGAAGGAACCAAGCCAGTAGACCAGGGAGCAAACGGTCACTTAGGTCAAGATTTCTGGCAATTCTATTTGGATGGTGGAAGTTTGTTCTACTGTGGTAGAATTCAGATGATGATTTAGAAACGGGGCAGGCAGGGGTTGGTAGTTTTGTTTAAGTTTGAAGACATGTTTTTCTAAGTCATGTAGGTGTCTCCCTAAATAGGCCATCTTCTCTGGATTGGTGCAAATCCAACAATCAGCTTAGGTAGGGACATCCTGGAGGTGGAATTCAGCTGATGATTGGAACCTGGGGGAACAAGTTAGAAACGTTGAGTAATTTAAGAGTCGGACGCAGACTATCTGAAGGGTACGGGGCTGAGATGTAGGCGTGAGGCTCTGTCCTCTCTGTCCAATATGATGCTTTCTCCAAATCCTATGGGGAGCTTTGGTCTTAACAAAACCAGGGCACTATGTGCCTGATCATTGCACCGTGTCCCTGTCAGGTGTTTCGGAGGCCACAGTGGGTTTGTGGGCTGCTTGGCTACTGTGATTCTGTAGCACTGACATGGAGATGAACATCTTTCCAACAAAAGATGACCTTGAAGTTATGGGATTTATTCCTTGGAGGACATCAGACAGTTTTTATTTAAATTTTCTCTTATCCCGGCATTCTTTTCTCTCATTCATTGTTCGTGGGAGTTGTTCAATAATTGGTTGAATAAATGATTGACACCTGATCATTCTATATTTGTGTAAGAATTCTGTATTTATGATTGTGAAATGGGAACTGTTTGGGAGGAACCCCTGGGAAGGGAGAGAAGAGTGATAGGGTGAGTATGATCAAAGTACTTTGTGTAGAATATGAAAACAGCATAATGAAACCTGCTGAAATTGTTTTTACAAAGGAAGGAGGAAGAGGGTTAAGAAAGAGTAGCGGGGGGGAGAGTTTGATCAAAGCATATTTTATACATATTTGCAAATACCACTATTAATTTACACTAACTTAAAAAAAAAGAATTCTGTTTTTAACATTGGAAATGATACACTTCGGTGCCCACTGTGTCATCCTGCTCCTGACCTAGACTTGGTTTCATATAAAAGCTGTTGGATGCAGACAGATTAGACAATTTGTAGACTAGACCCTGGGCAGCTCTGAGATTTCTGCCCTGAAGTTTGTCTCCAGGTGTGTACCCTAGAGCCTCTCAGCTCTGAGAGAGGTGGCTTATCATCACTGCTGCCTTGGAGGAGCCGGGTGTGTCTAGGCGGCTCCACTGTTCACCCCACGCACCGTCTGCCATTTGTGAGGGCAGGGGTTGGAAAGATTTCATGTTTCTGGCTGTTGGTGCTGCTGTGGCTTTACTTTCTAGACAGGGATAAAAGGATGCAACTGGGCCCCTCCCCCTCTGCTCCTCTTTGCCATTGTTGGACACAGTTTCTGGAGAAAACACAACCTCTGTGTGCAAAGAACAAAGAGGATTCAAAGGACCTTCTCTGGAGCCCATGGCTGTTTCCCATTGTCCCTTAGGGACAAAGAGTCAGCTGTTTCAGGGTGCAGAAGTTTTCACACGTTCAAGTTTTTCTGTCATTGAATAGGTAGAAAACCACAGGTGCTCTCTGGGAAGAAGTGAACCAAAAACCATTTGTGTTTTTTCTTTTTTTCATTGTACACATTTAATGACTAACTTATAATCTGTATCTATGTCCTGGTGACACTTGTTAATTACCATTCAGTTAGGCCAAGATGAAGCTGTGTCACACTGTCTTCTATGGTTCACTGTCATTACTTTTTATCTGGATCATTATTTAGTTTGAAATAATGGTTCCTCTTCCTATGACAAGTAGATCCGTCTTGGGACAAGATGGTAATTAACTCATTTTGTCATTGTTCCATCATGAAGGATAATATTCTTCTTGACATATTAGAATTAAACCAATTAGAATTTTTTTCTTTCTAAGAACAATGTTGCAGTATTGTTTTTTGGCCAAATGTTTCAAATTAACAAAACCTTTGGCTAGAGAACGGGAATAGAAGGAGGGAGAGGAGGTTTCATTATTTTCCACAATTAGGAAAAATAAAGTTGTTTGAATCTGTGTCATGTATAATTGGCTGAAGATGTTATAGGTTACAGTCTCTAACAGAGATTTTTCACTGAGGGCCATGTGGTTTTAGGCTTTCTCTGAGTGCTGTGGCTGGGCCAGTGAAGTCCCTGTTACTGCATTCTGTGTGACCTGGTGCTTTGCTTGGTCAGTTGATCTTCATGTGAACTATTTCTTGTGGACCTCGGGACATTTAAAATGCAGAGTTACGGAGAATGTGTGTTTTCCAAGTCCCAGAGCCAAGTGCTCAAGGGACAAAGTCGAGAGGCTGTGGGAGAGATCAGAATTCCTTAGGGTACATCCAGAGCCTGCCTGTGTGGCTGGCCCATAGGGGCCCTGTGACATTTCCTCTCCTTCAGAGTTCCCAGAGGATTGAGAAGACTGAGTGACACAGGACAGAGATTACTTCCTGATTGCGGGAGCTTCTGGGGAAAGGATACGTGAGAATGTGAAGCACTTGAAAGTTTTCAGAGGCCTTGCACACGTTTTCTGGCTTGTGCTTCGCAGTCATTCTCATCAAGAGGCTAAGACAGGGGTGACATCTCCCTTCAGAGCTGAGGACACAGAATTTACTAGATGGGTGGGGGCTTTGCCTAGGCTGGGCTGGCCAATGATGGATGGAGCTTGGACCTGTCCTTCCCTAGGGAAGAGGGAGAGGGATGGTGGATGGCAAAGGGACTTGGGAGCAGAGGGTGGTTCTTTGGCCAGGTAGACTGGGGAAGGTTCTGGAGAGGTGCAGTATACAATGAGGGCTTTGATGCTCAAGGAGGCTGAGCAGAGAGGCAGACAGTGCTGTTCCTTGGTGGCAGGAGTGTGAATGAAGGCCCAAGGCTAAGAAAGGCTGAGTCCTGTTTGGCTCAGGTGTGGGGGGGACAAAAGGAAAAGAAGTGTGTTCTAGGTAGAGTTCTTTAGATCATGTGGAGCACAGCCATGCTTGGGTGGGTTCAAGTGTGACAGACAGGGTTTACCATAAGGATGCAGGGAAGGAGTTCAAGGGTAGGAGAATAAAGAGTAAATAAAGAGTTCATATCCCCCCATCTCCCCTCTCCCTAGTCTCCCCTTCCCAACCCCACTGTAGGATATACTGCTGGCCCATATCTCCCTATCAATAAGTGTATTTAAATTTAAAATGGGATTTTACTCCACAGAGAGAATTCCTCTTATGTAGGTAGACCCTACTTGGTATCCTC